CACCGCGTCAGCAATTCTTTTGAGTCGTTGCTTGCCGCTTCATGACGCAAAAGAATTTGGTTTTGAAATCGTTATTTACAGCAAAGAAGTAAATCTTCTGAAAGTCATTTAAGCTCATCATCCTTCCAGTACGAGTTGCTTCGGACTTTATACAGATTCTTTCTTTTCTTTTAATCCAACGTTTCAACTTTCAACGCAGAAGCTATCATAAGGGGTATTTCACAAATAACGTTCCTTGCCAGATTAATAAATAGGTTTTTACATCAGCCGATAAAAAACAACTTACTAGACGTGGCCTGTTGCTGAACGATGAAGCGAGAAGGACGGCGCTATGCAGCAGATGATATTTCGTACCGGTACTGAAAGCCTAAAGTTCCTTTGCCAATGCAAAACTGACATAATCTATTATAGAAATTAAATTTGGCAGAACAGGTTTTAGCAAGATGTACTCCTGTTTCAGGAAATGCAATCAAGTGATTTAAAAATTCTCACTCTGCTATCTGAGCTCATAGGCTTTATGCACAAGATCAGCACGGAATCCTTTACACGAAAGCATTCTCACAAAACAAAACTTTCTGCCACCTATCATTTTTCGTTTCCTCCAACGTAAACCTAATCAGGATGTGAAAATATGTACTAATCAAAATAACAGCAAGGGATGAATAAAAATTTAAATGGATTGGTATAGCAAGGAGTCTCTATACACGTTTCATTTTCCAATGAGGGTTGGATCCTCATGCAGTACTTTCAAAAGTACATTCAACTTGTCCACCTCAGTGAAAACTGAGAAACAGCAGAATCGTACAGGGAACAGAATTTGAAGGCCAAGTGAGTTGCTCATACATTAGTTAACGAGCTCCAGAAACAAACCAAATCGATTATTAAACAGAATATTTAACAACAAATTGGGTTGAAAAGTACATTCGTTCCATAATCCGGCAATTATTTTATATATCTTCTTTAAAGAATGCTTTGCTGCTGCTGTCAGCGATGGGACACCAAAAATTACCTATTTCTCTAAGTTGTGAGAAGAGATCTAAATCAGTAACGGTCTAGTAGGTCCGTCTGGCTCAGCACCTTTCTAAGTAGGTCGCTAAGCTGATCAGTTTTGTACGTAATGTAATTTGCTTTCTCTGCATAACTCTCACGCATATACCAACTGAGGAAGATCGAATCGCACATCATCGCAATAATGCTAAATGTGGCCTGGGCTGGATGATATTACTAAACCATCAATTCATCGTGAACGGCCGGACATAATGCATCGTAGAGCATTTTCTCTCCAGACTGAGCTAAATACAGAGTAACATTATGACTATATAATTCACAACACACTGTCGACACGTTCAGATCACTTGACCTGACCAAATCACTCATTTCTAGACTCCCTGAAATATTTTTTTTCATTTCCTGCAGTATTATTTTATTTAACAACCCTGGAAAGAACATCTACACAAGGTATAACAACTGTGGCCATACTCATTTACATCTGTGACTTGTTGGAAAACATGCTCAAATATCCCTTTTCATTCTAGTCGGTGCAAGGAAGGACGCATTCGTCATACCAACGATCAACTTGCAGTACTATAATGTAACGCTACTACTCAAAGATAGCAAGTCCTTCAACTGTATTTCGCTCCTGAAGTGCTCTTTGGAGGTAGGTAGTATCAGTGGTTTACAGAGGCCGATGCCCTGTCTGTCTTAAAAGTACCGACTGAAAGGCTAAATCGTTTAAACTAATTGGGTTTAGTTCCAGTTCAACCGTCGCTACCTGCACATGATCATTTACTGTAATTCTACAAAATTCCACTAGTCCGTCGTTCTTCGTTGTGTTGGATTGTTTAGATCAAGGCTTTGTTTTGCTTATTTCATCATCATCAGTCTTTTTAGATCCACTACCGGATGAAGGCCTCTCTAAGACCTTGCTATAAACTTCTGTTTATAGCCACTTCTGTTCATCCGGATCCAATGAACTTCTTTAGCTCATCCTGTAACTGGTTCGAAGGTCTTCCATGGGACTGGTTATCTCCTTTAGCCAAGTCTAATGTCCCAATGGTTTAGTGTCTCTTCTTCCGGCAACGTGCAGTATTCATTGCCACTTTTGCTTTTTCACTCCGGCAACGATGTTGCAGACTCTCGTTTGTGTTCTGACTCCTTCAGTCGTCTTCTCATCTTTTTCGCTTATTTCAGCATTAACTGTTTGTCAGATATATTAAAGGCAGCGACATGCTGTTTCATACACAACTTTAAAAACAAAAACTTCTATCAAGTAACGATTTTTTCGAAAAAATTACCGTGCTAATATACACAGACGACTATTTATAAAATTTAACATAACTGTTATCATAGGTTATTAAGTGGTAATAAAATCTATTTAAAAATCAAACACCATTGATTTCTTGGACATGAAGCATTGCAAGTAAAGAAGTCGTCTTACCATAATTCTCTCAGGAGAAATGCCTTTCCTTTGTGAAAATCCTGAAAGAAAAACTGAAATACACTATAGGCAACAAAAGAAAACTTCTAAGACAGTTATTTACTGATAAAGTAATTTTATAAAGTGACCACAGTACTTTTCAAAGTTGTAGATGCCTTTTAAAAAAAATTTCAATGGTATCTATGTACTACTAGGTACTCACAATCACTAGAGTTTTGTAGTGCAACTTGCCACAGGATCAAGCTAAAGTCCGGCTTAATCCAAGTGGCTGACGCGCAACTCACAGCGCAAATAATCATCACTGAAACTGCATTTTAAAATAAAGTAAAAACAGACATCATGTTTCTTGATTTCCCAACTGTGGAAACAATTATCAGTGCCTAATTAGATATGTTAATGCAATACAAGCGTACTCAGCGCCCCCGTTCAGCGATTTTAGGTATTAGACCGATACAAATCTTCACAGCAACGAATCAACCCCCACTTGAACTTAAAGTAACACGCTGGTACAGGGATCGGCCATTGTGCAGACTCTGCTCGATTATTCGTGTACGCCAAGTAGCTGGTATAACATGTCGATTATTCGCCTTTGCTGATATTCTTGCATGCTCGAAACAAACCGCATGTTTTCAAGAGTTCGAGGAAACTCTGAATTTGAATTTAGTAATGGAAGAACATTTGCACAAATGTTAGCGATCAAAACTCAGCAAACAAGTTGTCAGCACTGTATTCTGGCAACAGAAAAGCAAAGAAGTCGCTTAACATATTTTTGTACGCGGCCTGATAGGACTCTCATCTTCAGTTAATTCCAGTGTGGCGTCGCGAGCTATCATCATACAAGTGCGAGATGACGTCACTTCGACTGCATAGGCCAGCATCCAATACACTACAGATTTCGCGATTGCCTCTTCGTTAGGAAGCCGGGTTTCTCAGTTGGTATAGCGTCGGACTCAGAGACGCAGTCAGGATATTCAACTTCCTTCTGAGAAACACACTATGCTATTCTTGTTACGTAACTACCGTCGATCCTGTATTTAAAATAAGTCACTTCTGGCTGATGGACTAAAATGGGGATCAACGCCCCGACATTAACTTCATAAAAGAAATGGCATCAGAAATGACTCAATCATGTAAGTGTCAGGATGATCGACATATCAACGATTACAAACCTTCCAAACATTACCTTTTTTTTCGTCAGCAGAATATTTTGGTCCAGCCTGATCGAGATGTTCTAACGCCAGTAAAATGGACACTCGATAGAACTCCTTGAAGAAAACCATCAGAGCGAATATAACCGCGCCCCAAAATCGATTCTGGCTGTCACCCTTATCATATTCGACGTTAGAAAAGCCTTGAGAAGTCAGTGAGTAACAGACGAACCCAAAAATATTACACTCTTACTAACTTAATGAGGCAAATGAACTTTCGCGACTGAAATAAGAAAGCCATTCTGAAACTTGTCTCACGATCAGATCATATTCGTCCCTGACCACTGGCAAACGTTATGGAACAACAGCAATTTCTAATATGCAACTGATCCTGCACTCCATCATCCATCAACCTGATTTTGATCTGCTGCCGAAAAAACTGTTGCCTTTAATGACATAAAAACAACATACGTGCACACAATATGCAGCAATGAACGTTCTAAAACTCATCTAAATTTGAGCAGGGAAATGGCAGCAACGATAACTAAATTACGCATCATTTTTTTCTGAACGTCCGTTCTAAATGGCGGTAAAGTAAAAGTATACTAGAACTTAGAAACTGCTTTCCACTTGCATCACAGTTTAAGGATAGAACCATGAATCACTTCTAGACAGAATATGAAAAGAATCAAAGCAGATTTATTTACCGTGAGAACCGTATGCCCCGAGACAAATGGCAGCTGCTCCAGACAAGCCAGCTAACCGAATAAACCAAGGCATATCCATGAACGATTGATTAGCTCCGTTCCAAAACATACTCAAAGACCAGTTTTTAGTCATTCACTTCTGGCCGAGTATTCGACTCTAAAAGAAAAGCAAAGTTTACAACATATTTGGCACATTTTTTCTGATATTGCATATCGGAAGTTTTGACTACAGAAGTATGGCTACGGCCAGAATAAAACAGATTTCGCCCTCATTCTACGAAAATACGGGTTTTGAGCGTTATCGAACAAAATCGATTTCAACAAATAACTTCATAAAATAAATTTTATTTTACAAACTTAACAGGTCAGTTTCAAGCTTGATTTCGCAGCATCGACACTTTCTACATTCGGCGGATGAAAGAATTTGACTACTTTAAAGGTGGTCACGGCGACAGTTAAAATCAGTTCAATCAAACGCATTATGAATATCAAAAATAACGAAATAAAGTTAATGACAGCTAAATAAAATTAAATAACATTAACAAAGCTTGAAACTCAAATACAGTAATTAAAATATGACAACCCGTAACAGGCAATAATCAAAAATAAAGATATCGAAGAACGGGATGGATAACATGAAAGATCCAAAAACTCCATAAATAAAAGACCATTCTATACCAAATAAACCTGATGTTATTCACTTTATGCGTACAAACCATGAAACAATGAGATAATGGCTAAATCATCTCCTGTCAATCCTCCGGATTTACACGTTCTGTTGCTTCTAGTAGCCCACGGAACCGCTTAAGCAGGCTACCATGTAAATCCGGAAGATTCAATGGAGAATGCCATTCCTACCGGCGGCATCGAAACCTAGCAGTTTGCCAGCAAACCTACAATAACAGGGTTTATTTTTTTTAATAGATATATCTACATTGTATTATCGAGCCATGTAAACCCTGACGAGTAATTTCCGCTTCCTTCTTACCTTTAGTTACTGAACTGTAGGTGCATGCAGAACTGCATATATTCATAAAATTGCCTAAACCAGTACCAAATTTTCAGATAGGGGATAAACAACAGCCAAACTGCACTAAATGCTTTGAGGAGCCAGGGAATCGAGAAAAGAAATATATATATACTGAAAATCAACCTGAAAAAGACTCAGGTCATGTTTAAGAAATACATGCCCATGCGAGTAGTTGAAGTCCATTAACTGCGGCTTCTACCTACGACAGCACATCTACTCAACGAATAAACGGTTCCATAAAATCAACAGGTGAGTAAAAATGGCATTGAGCATCTTTGAAAGACGAGAAATGTTCTTTTCTGAGAAGCTGCCCTTGTGCTTGAAACGGAAAGTTTTCGATTGGTGTGAAAAACTGCGATTCCGTATACAAACGACTGAAATGGCCTTTCTGTGACGAGTCGCTGAGCTCACCAGTCTTAACATGATCCGGAGTACAGATATCCGAGAAAGCCTTGGTCTAGAGCCGCTGCATCTTCAGAATGATAAGTCACAGGTGCGATGGTTTGGGCTCCTGTTGCAAATCTGTTCAGAAAAGAAGACTAATCAACTACTACTTGCTCAACCGACCGGACGAATACCGCAGGGAAAGTCAAGAATGTCCTGGTGCAAATGTTTCGACAGGCTCTGCTCCAAACTAAGATAACTCTCTGCCGTTATCTTCTCTGTTTCTGGCTCCGCGATCCGAAGGGATAAACCATCATCGAAACTGGCTGATGGAACAGAAAGACTGACCGAATCGAAGAATGGGTAAGAGCATACACAAAGTTCTGTTGTCATTTACGGGGTGAAGACGTTGAAACGGTAAAGGACGAAGCTCTACCTGCCTTTCAACTACAAATCCGAAATGTATTTAAAACAATATTTATTATCTACAAAGCAACATTACTCTACAAAGGAGTACTGAGAACGGATGACGACGAGTTCTTCACATAGGTACCCATAAAAGAAATGCAAGATTTAATGTTCCGGCTTATAAACACCGGCGTATAAAAATATTTTCATACTGCGCAGTGTTCAGTGTGCCTAGCTGCTAGCCATCTGGGGCGTCCTTGGTTTCCCCGTGGATAGGGGAATGATTTGCAAATACGAGGTCAGCTATGACAACAAGCAGTCGAGAGAAGCAGCAATGAGATCACCAGGGTGTGGCAGCATTCGAGATGGACAAGTTAGTTCTTTGGAAAAAACTTACAATGCCATGAATACAGTGAACAGTTTCATGATGAGCCGAGGGCGACCCGCTCCTTCGGAGAAAGAAGGCCGCCAATGCCATCTCTGCCATGCAGTTAGACTTAATTTCGTCAAAAGTTAGAAGAGAAAACTTCGATAAAAAATAGGCAGAAGGAGACGACCCCTTAGTACGAAATTCGAAAGGTCACCGTCAACCTAGCAGCGGGTAGCAAAACTCCATACGCTATGGCAATACAGTGTTGCGGTTGGCGCGATTTGTCATTGAATACCAGCCGATGAAAATGATTGCATTATGCATAATAAAACCATTGTGATGTGCTACTGTTTACGATCGAAAAGATACTAGAAACACTGCAGAAGCCAATCGCCGACTGCTCAAAGAAATCTAAAAACAGCAAAATCGCATGCACTAGAACAAATATACTAAAGAATCAAAACTCACAACTGCTAAAACAAATGCAGCTTTTCAGTCATGCATATTTCCAGTTAAAATCGCGATTGTCATTAAACTAATCCGCAAAATTACCTAACAATTATCGTGAATAAACAAACTGAATATAACGACCTTAAAATCAAAAACTGTTCGAGACTGTACATCGCTGCACGTCACGGTGATCGTTATTCTTTTTCCTTTTGCGCTATGTCAATTTTTTTGGTTCCGTTATAATGCTGCCATCTGATTCTATTGTTAGTTATGATTATCAACACGAACTTGTAAGCAGGAGAGTTCAAGTCTTGCACTGATTGCCACCTTAGATAGTGATCTATCAGGAGGGCCAGGGGCGAATTAACACTTCGTCAACGGTTTTCATGTTTCGCACGGACATAGGTATTATATAACAAACCGCTTGTTTCAAATCAAGCTTAGCTGTTGTCAATATGCAATGCATAACAGATCTCTCACATGTTGACAGCCTGCTATTAATAACTGACTAAAGTGGACACTGATTCATTCACATCCGTTTAGTTGTTTCGAACTTGACCTCGACGGTTTGAATTTGATAGGCCAGTTTTTACCATCTTGCCTCAACGGCTAGGCAAACATGGCTCAAAGTGTCGGTAATTAGTAATTCTTTGTAATTCTACTCCTTATTTTTACCTCGGGCTTTCCGATAAACTCATAACCTGCACCTACATAACTCGACAGAGCTGCGTTAGAACCCAAGCCACGAACCCGGTTCTAACAACACTGAAAGTGAGACTATTTTAAGGACTCCGGAGATAGCTATCATTGCGTGCCGAAGCGATTAGCTGGCATAAATGTGTGAATTAGAATAATGTCTTCATTGTAGTATCCCTTGGATGCCCAGTTTTCCAAGCTTTTGCTAAAAGACGTTGATTATTTGTAGTATTTAGAATAAGCAAGCAATCTGATTTCAGGGCCTGACGCATTGATTGCTGCATCGAAGAAAGAATCACCCTTCAACTTGTTTCTGTATGTTAAGTGGTTTGTGCTTGGCTTCCTGACTAACGCTTTTCGCCACTTTCATTCTAATATCAGCAGCAGGGAAAAAGAATTTGTTTAAAGACGAGAACAGAGAAAGTGTAAAAATGAATTAGAGCTCAGCGTCCGCAAAGGACAGATTTCTTGTCTCAATATATCCTATTCAAGTGCATTCCGGAAAGTAGTCCAAGGTTACGCCACTGAGTCACATGAAACGGTAAAATTACGGGAACTTGTGTATATCTAAGAATTTGAGGTAGTTACGAAGGCTTGGTGAGAAACCTAGCAGTCTAGTAATGAATCTTTAGCATCCGTAGATTACAGACAAATTCATGCGCTTTAATAGCGCTCCATCAAAAAGGAAACTATCCAAAACAGAAGTCGCAGATGAAATGGTTGTAAGACACTGTCTACACCAAATTCTGTATAATGCATAATGCCATACTATGTTTCGGCTATGCTAGTTACTAATTAAAAACGGTGCATTGATGAATGGTAACCGTCTCTAACTACTTGATTTTCAGTATGAAATTTTTTCATAAAAAGTCATTTCATAACGCAAATTCGGTCAGTATTATAACTAGAAACAGAAGGTATTCTTTACACTGATTTTTGGATTAAAAGTGACAAATATTAGTTCGTCTAAATAGATTTTTCCAATTAATTATTGAAATTGTTTAGTTCGGATTTCAGTTCACCATTACATCGTGGAAGAACGGTGATGTCGAGTTGACGTCTGACAAAGTTGGGATGCAGTTTATGTAAAAGAACTTTCTCGCCCAGCTCTTTAAGGCAAATACACGTCCGTGCAACTACCATCGTTCCAAAAGCCAGGAAGAAGTCTCAGAAGCAAAATTCAATATATTACACAGCCAACGAAGGAAAAAAAGACCCAGGGAGAGGCGGTATTCCATAATTAAATGATCGAGCAAATGGCCAAACGATTTTGAGGGTCTTAGTAGAGCGGTTATACTGCTACCTGGAAACAGTAGTTTTAAAATCAGGATAGAAGGAGCTAATAACAATTGCATTGTTCAAAAACGACGAGACGAATAATCTCAAGGACTATCACCTGATCTGCCTGCTCTCATAAACTTAAAGAAAACTTAGGTGACGTTGAACGGTGAAAATATGGAGGTCGATAAATGCTTTTATCTGGGCCATGAGATCATCGCGCAGCATGATCAGACTTCAGAGATTCAACAGAGAAATAAAGGTGGTTGATACACATCCGATGTCATCAAAGATGTCCTCTTCGGAAGCATCGGAAAAGAGATCCGAGCTTACCTCCTAATTCTTCCTTCTGCCGGAAATGTTATATGGTTTTGAGACGTGGTCACTGACTAAAGTAGAAAGCGCCAACTATTTTTTAAAGGAAGAGCCATGGAAAGAAGAATTTTTGAAATCTCATGCTGCGACCAAGTCCCCAACACGGTGATCAGACAGCGGACGAAAGTGAAGTATGTCGTCG